TCTCTGTGTAGCTTTGCGCCTCTCCTGGAACTCACTTGGTAGCCCAGGCTGGCCTTGAACTCACAGAGATCCACCTGGCTCTGCCTCCCAAGTGCTGGGATTAAAGGCGTGCGCCACCACCGCCCGGCTTGTTTTGTTTTTTAATTGATTTTCACCTCTGGGCATGCTTCACTTCCATGACATAGAATAACTAAAACTCAGATAGAAATTTCTAGACTTATTTAGCAATGAGAGCATTGGATTTAAGGTGACCATACCAACTGCAAAGTAAGGAAGATATTCTAGAAAGGAGAGAAGCACACAGGAGGAGCCCTAATGAACTGGAGAATTCAACGGTTTAGCAATGCAAGAGAGAGAAATGGGCATTTCGCTCCAAAGAGTTTCATGGTTTTCTAAAATTACACGTTACTACCCTAGAGGCTAGAAATTCAAAATCTCTATGATACAGCTGCTCTTCAACTGAGCACAGGGTTACATTTGATTAACCCATGGGATTTTGAAACTAGCCTGTCAAAGACAGCTTCGGGAACTGGAGAGGTAGCTCAGCAGGTAAAGCTGTTGCCAGCAGACATGAGAACTGGAGGTCAGATGCCTGGCGCCCCTGTCAGTGCTGGGTGGATGGGGTGATCTGCCTGCAATCGCAGCACTCGTGAGGTACAGATGGGATTCCCAGAATAAGCTCGTGAGATAGACTAGCTCAAACAGTGGGCTCTGGCTCAAATGAAGGACCTCACTCCAGTCTGTAAGGTGGGACAGGGCAAGTAACCTTCGGCCTGTACATGCACACGTGTGCACATCCCACACACGTGTAAAAACAGCCTTTAATACCTTTAGCCCACTGAGCATCACAACTTAGGAGTAGAGCACACTCTGGAGAAGGCTTTAAACTTTTTCCACTTACAACACCTTTTTACCCAGGAGGGTTTTTGTAACCATGGGTCTGTATTATATAAAATAGGTGTACTTGTACCATTGAGATGGCTCAGCAGGTAAAGAAAGGTGCCTGCTGCCAACCCTGACAACCTGACGCGCATCCCCTGGACCCACAGTGGAGAGAGAATCAATTCACAAGTTGTCCTTCAACCTCCATAAGCATGATATGGTATGTGTGCCCTCATACACATACACAGACACAGACGGATAATTAACAGAAGTTTTAAAGAATTTTTTTAGTTATATGTGTCTTCATGGGGATGTGTGCTTTCCATGCAGGCTTGAGGACCTGAGTTCAATCCCTAGAACTCGTGTCTTTAAAAAGCCCAGTGTGGTGGTGTATACTCTGTAATTCCAGTGCTGGGGAGACAAAGATGGGATCCCCGAAGCTCACCAGTGAGCCAGTCTAGCCAAACTGGTGAATTTCATGTTCATTGAGAGACTTCGTTTGAAAAATAGAAGATATTCAGTGTCGACCTCTGGTCTCTGCACACAGACACATATATTCCCCACATGGGAAAAATTTGAAAGCATACAGAGATAAAGTCCACAGAGAGCCAAGACGGCAATTCTTGTTGATGTCCCATTAGAAAGAGCAGGAGCCAGAGACAGCATCTTAAAGTGCAGGGGAAGGCAGGAAATTGTAACCCTATTCAATGAAGTGAGGGCGTGACCGCCCAAGGTGTGGTCGAGACAGTTTGTATTGTAGTATTAGGGACAGTACAGCCATCTGGAGAGTTCAGAGAAGGGAGAGAAGGAGGAGACCGGCCATGACCGGCAGACTGAACTGGGCCATGAGAGGGGCAAGAGACCTTCACACACATATGTGAGTACATGTACACACACACACACACACATATGCACACACACAGAATAAGACAGGCCATAGACTAACACAAAATATTTTAAAAGATAGATCTGATAAGGGACTGTTATCTTAAATATTCTTTTAAGAGTCAATAATAAGAAAATGAACAGCCAGATGAAACAAAATTGACCAAAAAAGATCCTTATTAGATACTTCACTGAAGAAGATGTGCAGATGCTCCACCTCATGTCATTTAGATGATATAAATTAAAAGAGATGTCAGTACTCATCTATTGGAATGGCCAAATCCAGAACACCTTAAATATAAGTGGAACAAACCTTCAAATGAGAAATCAGGGATTGATGGTCTTAGCCCAGCTGCCTGCTGTCAATAAGAAATTGTGTATTTCAAAATATCAAAAATAAACAAAACTGCAGTAATATTAGATGAAGCCGATGTCAAGAGAAAAGGAGACTTTCAAAGATCATTTCGTGCTGATAAAAGGAAGGGGCGAGTGCCCAGGAAGACACAGGAGTTGTAACTGTAAGTGCCTGTTACCAAGCTTCAGATCGCAGCAAGGTAAAAGCAGGTAAATGGAGGAGTAGACAAGCCCGCCGTCCCACTCGGAAGTCCACATGTTGGAAGCCTGATGCCCAGTGCAGCAGGTAGGGCTTCGGAAAGTGAGTGGCCCCTGGAGTCTTTGACTTCATCAGTGAACTGATCCACTGGTAGGTTTATAATGGGATGGATGGGCTGTTAGTAAGTGATAGACGCTTAGGAGGTGGGGGCCTTGTCAAAGGGAGCAGGCCCTTGAGGGCCCCTTCTCTCATGCTCCCGCTCTGGTCCCTGGCTGCCACGACGCAAATAGCTTTGCCCCAACACATGCTCCTCACCGTGATGTTCAGCCTCGCCTTGATCCCCAAGTTACGGGGACAAATTACGAAGAATTGGAGCAATGGGTGAAAGGAAAACTTGGCTCCAGTTGGTTTTTCAGCTATATTGTCAGTAGTGGGAGGCTGACCTACACAGTCGGGAGTGTTCACACTTCTTTTAGTAATTTATAGAATTATGTTTACCGGGCAGGCTGTAGAAAAGTCTGATCAACACTGTCAGTCATCATACACTGTTTGGCAACAACAGCAAAATAAACATTTTCAACTAAATATGACACATTCAACGTAGAGTATAGGCCATCGTATGTTCCCATTAATTTTCAGAAATTGAAATCACAGTGAATGTGTTCTTAGACAATAACATATCTGGGAAGTCCCCCCAAATATTTAGGAGTTAACACATTTTAAAGGAGCCCATGAGTCAAAGGAAAATGACACCGGAAGAGCATCGGAATTTGAGGAATAGGATCAAAGCTGTGCAGAGAGGGAAATCTGTATAATGTTGAAAATACCATGCTGGGGGAAGAAAGACAGGAAAACCAGCAACCTAAGGTCCCACTTCAGTAAGTTGGGAGAAAAGAAAAAGTCAGCCCAAATGAAGGAAACAAGAAAGATGGGAGATCTAAGAGTTAGTTGATGGTGGTTCCACAAAACTTGAATACAAGTATACATCTATGACGTCATGGTTTCACTTCTTAATATAGACAGTGGTTCTCAACCTTCCTGATGCTGCGACCCTTTAGTACAGTTCCTCATGATGTGGTGACCCCCAGCCATAAAATTATTTTCATCACTACTTCAAAACTGTAATTTTGCTACTGCTATGAATCATAATGTAAACATCGGATATGCAGGATATCTGATAATGCAATGCCAAGGAGGTCATGACCCACAGATTGAGAACCACTGGTATAGACCCAAGAAGAAGAGACAGTGCACCCATAAAATAACTATGAAGCTGTAGCATCCTTTTTAATAGCCCACTGTGGACGCAGTATGCTTGGATGCCCATACATACCAGAACGGATAAGCGAGTTTTGGTATATTCATATGATGAGCTGCTGTGTAGCTATAAGGTTAAACTAACTGTAGTTCTTCAGCTGTACAAAGCACCCCTCATTATGTGTGAAAAAGCCAAATACAAAACATATATACTGTGTGATTTCATTCATATAATGTTCAAAACAGGTGAAACATGTATGTGCTGATTAAAAGCCTTTAGTATTGACCTTTAGTGGGGCATGAGAAATGCAGTTGGACCTGAGGGGGTTTCTGCAGTTAGTGTTTTATATTTCTGTATAGGTTCCAATTACATGAACTTGTTAAGTGTATTAACAACTCAT